AAAAGCTGAGAGTTCTTCTGTGTATGTCCCCAATACAGGTAAGAATGATCCCCGCCCATGAAACCTGAGTAGTGGTGGCTTTGGCAGGTAACAGGTAGCAAAGGTGCATAAAATTCCACCTCAAATTTATTAATTTATAAAACTCAATTTTTTTATATTTTATTCGTAATAATATTAAAACTCGCGTTGCTCATTGCCAGACACTTGATATGGTTACAACCCTCTGCCAGACACACCTGAACTATTATAATTTGTAACTATACTTACGTTATATTATAAAAGCTAAATTTTATATATATTATTTGGACAACTATTAAATAATGTTTCCTTAATAGCCAGACAATTTCGAGGGTTATATCGTCCTGCCAGACGTATTAAATGTGTACAATAGTTATGAGTGAGAGGAACATATGCAGCAACGGGTGTGAGTGAAATAGAGCTTGCAGTCTATTGCGCTAGTTCAGTGTGATGTCATTTTGGTTCCACTGACATTTAATTCTAACCAAACTTTTAACAAAAACATCAATAAATTTGACATATACGTTTTTACTGTTTTTATTTTATTTCAAAATATTGTTTAAAGGTCATAAAAAATAGTTTAAAGGTCATAAAAAATAGTTTAAAGGTATGTAATTGGTAACTAAACGATTGTATATTTGATACATGCTATCTACTTACTTTAGGAATATATTTATAAAATTGAAAAAACGATATAATTTAGGTAAACAAAACGAACAAAACGCACTCAAAAAATCTACTGTCACTTTAATTGTCAGTGGAACCATAATTACATCATGGCTGAACTAGCGCATCGCGATCTTTTACTGCGCATCAGCTGCTCATTGTGTATTATGTAGTGCGCGGTTATGCTCATAGTAAACGTACATCAAACGTATATTAAACGTTGTATTATTTTTCTGTGTAATTTCTAACTCACAAAAAAATTATTCTTTCGTATAATAAACAATAAAATTTTGATGACTGAAATTTCAGTTGAATATAATAAACTTTATAAAATTTAAAAATAACATGAATTGAGTTACTAGAATTTTTGATATGATTGATATTTTATTATAAAATTTTACGGAATATTATTTTAAAAATGTATTATTCAAACTGTAATAATTTTATTCAATGAAATTTCTCAAAAAATTAGAAAAAATATTACTAAATAATTCGGAATAAACAACAGTAGATGCGCAGTAAAAGATCGCAATAGACTGCACGCTCTATTTCACTCACACCCGTTGCTGCATATGCTCCTCTCACTCATAACTATTGTACACATTTAATACGTCTGGCAGGACGATATATCCCTCGAAATTGTCTGGCTATTAAGGAAACATTATTTAATAGTTGTCCAAATAATATATATATATATATATATATATATATATATATATATATATATATATATATATATATATATATATATATATAATTTAGCTTTTATAATATAACGTAAGTATAGTTACAAATTATAATAGTTCAGGGGTGTCTGGCAGAGGGTTGTAACCATATTAAGTGTCTGGCAATGAGCAACGCGAGTTTTAATATTATTACGAATAAAATATAAAAAAATTGAGTTTTATAATTAATAAATTTGAGGTGGAATTTTATGCACCTTTGCTACCTGTTACCTGCCAAAGCCACCACTACTCACGTTTCATGGGCGGGGATCATTCTTACCTCTATTGGGGACATACACAGAAGAACTCTCAGCTTTTATAAAATTCCGAAGGTCTGGCTCTCACTGGCTCTTGCTCTATTAGGTAATTATCCATCAAAATTTTACCAATTTTAAGTTTGATTTCATTGGAGTTCTAATGGGTTTACCCTCATCCATTTGAAATTTTTGTTTGGTCAAGTTTTATACTTTAACCTGAATCTGAATCATTGTAGGCAATTCTGATACCTAAACAGTTAGCTTTTCTTTCTCGTTATTGCAAAATTAAAAAAAATCATCCTCATACAGCGCGAAAAAAAAATAGTCTTTTCAGAAATTTTGTAGTAAACGCAAGGCTCGTAATTACTTTGTTTAAAACCTAGCTTTAGTAATATATTGTGTGCTTTAATATTCCACATTCTGGAAGCCTGTTTTAAGCCATATATCTTTAAAAAACATACTTTATGTTCTGAATTAGGTTGTATAAAAGCTTCAGGATGTTGCATAAAAACGTTTTTGTAAGTTCGCCATTTAGAAAGGCCGTTTGTACATCCATATGGTCTATACTCAGATTTAACTTTGCTGGAAGACCTATAAGCATTCTTAGTACTTCATGTCTTACTACGGGTGCAAAAGTTTCCTCATAGTCTATGCCATATTTTTGTACAAATCCTTTTTAACTAACCTGGCCTTGTAACTTAAAGTTTTGCATTCGGAATTGCTTTTTTGTTTAAATACCCATTTACATGGCACTATATTTACTTTTTTAGGCTTATCTACTAATGTAAAAACTTCTTTAGCAATCAAGGAGTTATATTTCTCTGACATTGCTTGTAACCATTTGTCCTTGTCGGGCCCTTCAAGAGCTTCAGATAAAACGATTTCTAAGAGGATATCTACAACCTATTTTTTCTTCAGAGACAACATCTGTGGTACTTTTTAATTCGACATCAATCACTTGAGAATGTTTAGTTCAGATCATGTGACGTGATGTCTAGTTATTCTATCTACTTGTTTAATGTGTTTGAGCTTAATTGATAGGTTATTAGATAACTCGAATACCTTTGAAAAAGAAGTTGGGCACCACTATATTTAAAGCTTACTGTACTTGACTCTAGATTAGTGATAAAAATATAGAAAATCACTAACCACTAACAAATAATATTTAAACCATGCTTTAGATAAGGTAATTAGCAAATTGTTATTCACATAAGTTGTACTAAATTCAAATTTAAAACGATTTATTGAGTATACACTTATCTTTTGGTAAGTTAGGTAATATGCGGAATGTAAAACTAGGTCATCTCAAGGTATATCATCAGGCAACTTCCACAAAGAGATTCGGGATCCTTATTCGTAATTCTGCATAATTCTGCAACATGAATGATCTTCAAACTTGAATTTGAACTCGAAACTGTTTAGCATGACACCAAAACGTCTTGAGATGAATCCAAAATGTCTAGATATAAATTCAAAACACGTCTAGAGATAAATCAAAAACCGTCTAGATATAGCCATGCTAAAAAAGGGTTAAAATATTAAGATAGGAAATAGGAAATTTGAAAAGGATTTAGATAAAATGCTTTAACTATCAAATAAACAATTTAAAACAATTAAATGAATAATTTCACACAGACTAAAAATAATATGAAAAAGAAAAATCTTATTTAATATATTTAAACATAGCAAAGCATAACATCTTATTTCAAAAAAAAAATATCCAATTTTATATAAAACTTACCATGTGTTATTCATTGTTGATATTGAGGTTATGTTTAAAACTTGACAATCTATTTAAGAAATCCTTCTACAAAATATATACATTTAATAATATATTATTATTAAAACTTACCCTATAAAATCAAACGGACCTTACGACAAATAAAAATCACCCAGTACATCAGATGACCAAGATAATTAAAATAAAATCAAGTTGATTGTCGCTGTTAACCAAATCAAAAATAAATCTCACAAGACCACAAATGATATTTGAGTAAGAGGTGGTTGCATCGAAACAACGAAATAACGGTTCCAACCGTTACAATCGCTGATACTAAATAGGCTTCAAGCTTACGACAACAGACGAAGTTGATGTTGAAGCTTCATCTAGCAACTGAAAGTTGTGAGTTTTCTAGAAAATAGACATCTCTAGCACGAGTCACTTTACCATCTTTGTATACTCTATATCCTACGAAGTCTTCACAATATCCTATAAATAGATATTCATCACTTTTATTATCCCATTTTTATCGAATTTTATCAGGTTTATGGACAAATGCTCGACAGCCAAAAATTTTGAGATTTGATAAATTAGGTTTAATTTTTGACCAAGCTTCCTCAGGTGTGATTTTTAAAACACAACTATGATGCGATCGATTAAGTAGATAGACAGCAGAATTTCAGGCTTCAGTCCAAAATTGTTTCTGAAGTCCAGCATCTTCTAACATACACCTTGCTTTATCGCAAATGGAACGAATCGCTCTCTCAGTTACACCATTAAGTTCAGGAGTCATTGGAATGGTAATATTATGTTTAATTCCATGTTCACTTAGAAAATCGTTAAAATTATTACTTATGTATTCGCCACCATTATCAGACCTACGAATTTTAATTTTCTTATTAGTTTCGTTTTCTACCATGGCTTTAAAAATTTTGTATTTTTCAAGTACTTCATATTATTGTTTTAACCAGAATAAAAAGCAAACACAACTTAGTTATTTTAAAATTATTTTAAAATTATTTTAATAATAATTGTTAAAGATAAATATCTAGGATCTAATTTACAACAAGTTCAATAATTTAACAATCATATCGATTTTAGTATTAATATGGACATTACATAGATCAAAATAGAAATTATGTGTTTGACATTTTCTGACAGCTACTGCGGAAAGTAGCATATTCGTACGCGGGTGGAAAGTAAATTCTTATTCATACGTGTGTGATATAGGGCACTTTTCATAGGACTATATAGTGTGATATGTGTCACTTTCCTAAGTGGTCGTAGGAAAAAGAAATAATTGTATGATGTTTAATATAAAAACTCGTCATTCATGTAATCCTATATATTTTCATTATTATATTTTTAACATTTCGTTGTATTTTTATTTAATGTCTATGAATATGTTCATGATAATAGAGAACACTTATAAGTTATCTTGACTAGGTAACAAGGAATACTGAAAAATATCTAAATATGAATTTTCATCTGCCGAGCAACTTCAAAATATTTATTTGTTAAAAAAAAAACTTAAAATAAAATTAATTTAACCCTATTTAATTTTCTGCTACTTTCTTGAATAATAAGAGTTAATAAAATATTTTTCATTTTCAGGCAATGCGTCATTCACAATTACGGAAAATTTAAGATACTTAACCACAACACAGGTTTTAGCAGACTTTGCATTTCTCATTCAAGAATTGAAGAAGAATTTTTTTCCAAATTTTTCACAAGCAGATACCAAGACCGAGCCTATCATTGCATTTGGAGGATATTATGCTGGAATGTTGGCAGCTTGGTTAAGAATGAAGTATCCGTATTCAGTTAGGGCAGCCCTTACTTCGTCTGCACCTCTTTTCTACTTTCCCGGACTCACTTCTTGCGAAGGATATTATCAGAAAGTTACTCAAATTTTTGAGAGATATGGACAAGAGAAATGTGTCAAGACAATAAAACTTGGATGGGATATAATTGAAAACTTAGCCAAATCTAAAATAGGTAAATTTTGTTTTATTAACGAATTATAGATTTATTTTAATAAATTCAAGTTAAAGTGTCGGTAACGTAGAATACGTATCTAGCTAGCAGAGCACCTTTGGATTTTTTACATTAGGAGTATGCTATATTTTAGGCTCATTTTAGGCTAATTTTATATCAACATATAAAATCTTCCGTTCCTTTCTTTATACTTAGAAAAAATTAGGTGCTCGGCTAGCTTGGTATTAAGCTAGCAGAGCATGCACCTTTGAATTTTTTAAATTTTGTATACTCCATAATTTTAGGCTAGTTTTAGGCTAATTTTATACCAACTTAATAAATATTCTGCTTCTTTATACAAGATATTAAGTACTCTGTTGGCTTAACAATAGGCACTTGTTGCGTTCTTCATTAAAAAATTCAGCAATGTAAAAAATGATAAGGGTTTAATTTTAGACTCATTTTAGACTTAATTTAGGCTAATTATATACCAACATAAAAAATGTTCCACATTTATCGGAAAAATTAAGTGCTCTGCTAGCTTGACAATACAACTTTAATGTTAATTAAATTGATGAAACTAAAATATAGACACGTCATAATATTAGGCTCATTTTAGGCTAATTCTTCTCTAAAATAAAAAAAAATTCGCTACTGCCTTTTTTGGAAACATTAGGTTCCCTGCTAGCTTGACAATAGGACTTTATAGAGTTTTTCATTAAAAAATTGAAAAAACTAAAACAGAGGCACGGCATAACTTTAGGTTCATATTAGGCTAATTGTATACCAACATATGAGTGGGAAATTTTTCATATTGGTATACAATTAGTCTAAAATTATGCCGTGTCTATTTTTTAGTTTTCTCAGTTATTAACTAATAACACTATAAACTCGTATTATCAAGCTAGAAGAGCACCAAATTTTTCCGAAAAAGGTAAGAGTGGATAATTTTTACTGAGGTATAGAATAAGCCTAAAATAAGCCATTTTTTAGTTTTCTCCATTTTTTATCGAAGTCTATAACTCGTATTGTCAAGCTAGAAGAGCACTTAATTTTTCCAATAAAGGCCAAAGTGGAATTTTTTTTATTTTTGTATAGAATTAGCCTAATATAAGCCTATGTCTATTTTTTAGTTTTTTCATTTTTTTAACCAAAAACTATAAAGTCGTATTTTCATGTTAGCAGAGCATCTGATTTTTCTAATAAAGGCAAGAGCAGAAAATTTTTCATGTTAGTATAGAATTAGCCTAAAATGAGTCTGAAATTATGCAGTGTCTATTTTTAGTTTTTAGTTTTCTTAATTTTCTAACGAAAAATTCTATAAAGTCGTATTTCAAGCTGGTAGAGCACTTAATTTTTCCAATAAAAAAAAGAACAGAAAATGTTTCATGTTGGTATAAAATTAGTCTTAAATTATGCCGAGATCATTTTTTAGTTTTTTTAATTTTTTATCGAAAAAATATAAAGTGGTATTGTCAAGCTAGCAGAGCAGCTAATTTTTTTGATAACGACCATAGTATAATCTTTTTTATGTTTGTATAAAATAAACCTAAAATGAGCTTAAAATTATGATGTATCTATTTTTTAGTTTTCCCAATTAATTAACAAAAACTCTATAAAGTGGGTATTGTTAAATTAGCAGAGCACCAAATTTTTTCATTAAAGGCTAGAGTAATAAATTTTTTTTGTTAGTATAGAATTAGCCTAAAATGAGCCTAATATTATGCCGTGTCTATTTTTTAGTTTTCACAATTTTATTAACTAAAGGCACTATAAACTCGTATTATCAAGCTAACACAGCACCTATTTTTTCCAATAAAGGCCAGAGTAGCCAGAATGAGCAAATAATGCAAACAATGACTAATTATTCAAGATATCGGTATATTTACTTAGTAGTTCACCGTTGTGTCCAGTTAAAGGATAGAGGTATTTTAAAATCCAAAAATTATTTATGGCTATATTTTTTTATTACTCAGTACAATTTTACTGAATTTGAAAAACGTTTTTGATGTCATAATATTCATCTATCAGCAAAAAAATTAGTTATCTAAATTAACTTTTCATTGGTACGTAATACTCGAGAATAGCGATCAAGGAGACGCATAGAGGAGAAGCGACAGCTTGTTGTTTTCAATGTACCATTTTGTAACGCGCATGTGCGAAAATAAGTTGTGTATCCACATACTTTGATTTTCTTTTACTATACGGAGAATAGTCGCACTGCGCAGCTTTCTGAGTGCCTTTTAAAAGGAGATAGAAAACTCCGCCATTTTGAACCCTTATTACGTGTTGCCTACATCTTGGCGCAATATTTTTAATAGGTGCGTTTTAATCATCCGCTTCTGCTTCGAAATTGTCGGTTTTCTTGTTTTAATCTGACAGGTTAAAACGACTAAACCGACAATTCCGGAAGCAGAAGCGGATGATTAAAACGCACCTGATATTTTTCTTGCTGCTGTCAGTGTCGGTGAATATTATTTTTGAAGTCACAGGTGAATATTATTTTTGAAGTCACAGTTTATTGCTAAAGAATCAGTTAGCTCACTCGGACCAGTTGAAAGTTCCAAAATAACATCCACTCCAGGGATACAAATTCAGGATACGCAGAAGACTGCTGTTTTATTATAGGCGGTTGTCATATATTGTATTATCCGAGTTGAACAGTGTATAAAATAAAACATTAAGATCAAAAGTGCCGACACAGAGTGAGCGATATGATTCTTTAGCTGTAAACTGTGTCACAGGGTTCAAAATGGCCGCGCCCTATGTTGGGCGTGTCGGACCTCTCTCTTGCCTCGTTTAGTAATCAAAGTATGTGTGTGTATCACTCAAAATGATGTTATCTGTCAAAGTCAGTCTAAGTTGTGTTTAGTATGTGAGCAATGTTAAGTGATATTTTTTGGTGTACTATAAGTACTATTTCTAAAAATTCGTCTATGCCCAGATAGCACACATAGTCCAATTTTGGATCCATTTGAGGGTCAGGACGTCCATATCCGGGCATCCAGTGTACGTCCGTTTCTGCTAATTAATTTGACAGCTTAATATCGATACCCAGAGAACGTCTGTTTTTGGACTTAATTTTAAGTTTAGTAGTATTTTGACGTCCAGTGGACGTCCATCTTAGGTCATTATTTATTAAGCCAACCAGATAATTCCCATCTATGTACACTTCCTTTTTTTTAATATAATTGGTCATTAAAAATTGACAAATTGAATCTATTGCATTTCATTCTATCAGCGGAAGTTTGAAATCTTATTCCATCATAACTGTATCTGTGGTTCCTTGGTCGAGCTCGTCTAGCGATTGAAAGCATAAAACGATAATGGATGTGTCGTGAGTTCGATTCCTGCTCATGTTAAGCGATTTTTAATTAAAATTAAAAAAAGATGGTGTATAGCGGTTTTCGAAAATAATAAACAAATTAATAATAATATAAAATAGTGTGTGGTGAGTTGCGGTTCTGTAAAAAAAGTGGGGATGTGGTCTCAATGGAAATATAATCCTGGACGTTTTTTGAATATCCATTGTTCGACGTCCAAATATATTCCAGAATTAGACGTCCTCTGATTGGTCAAAAGTGTGCCATTTTTATACTTCACTGGACGTCCATTGGATGTCGGAAGTCCAGAAAAAACTAATTTTTGGACTTCTAGACATCCAAAATTGTATATCGAATGGACGTCCAATGGACATATTTGTATTGTCTGGGTGATAGCCAGACCAGGTATTTAATTCTAAATACATAAACCTGAAATGACATCTGGCTTATCTTTGCGAGAAAACACTTGTTTCTACAGAAATTAGTAATAAACTTGAAAGTCCTTTTAATATAATATAAATCCAGAAATTCTAAAAATATGTAAGTACTTTTTAAACCTAAAAGCTAAAAGCACATTGCAAATATTTAGTTAAACCCCTCAAACTTAATGTCTTTTGAATTGTTACCTAATTTTTTTTTTGGTACCCTTAATTTTATTTACCTTATTTTTACCTAAGAAAAAGGTAATTTATTTTAAATATGAGGCTTTTATTATATTTTTAACAATAAATACACCAAAAATTGAACAAATTTTATAGATAAATTATAAAATAATAAACGTCTTTTACTTTTATAACAAATAATTAATTATTACACAATGAATTATATTTTGCTACCGAAATTTCACCATTGCTGTTAACCCTAACTACTTCAATGTAATTAAATCACATTACATTTGCGCATGGACTATAACAATGATTTCGAATAGTTTGCCAAACTATTTCACTCAATGTAGAAAATAAGCATGTTTTCTCAGCGTATTAACAAAGTATATTAACCGTTGAGTAGCGACATAAAGCGTCGGTGCCTTTGATCTTGGGTGGTGCAAATTTTCTTTCTCACTTTTGACGTTATTGACGGAACGACACAGTAAAACACTGCTCGAATTATGAACTGATCTTGAATGTGATGTTTACACTGCTCGACGTAATTTGAAGTAAAACTCTTTCGTAGTTTACATTTATAATAAAGGTTTGGTCATTAGGCAGTTTTATTTTATGAGTATTTAACTTATGTAGTAAATATAAAAATATATATCACTATTGATAAATTTAAATTTTTTTACCTACGTCCGGATGATCTGGAGACTTGAAAGTTGGTAGGTGCACAGGGTTTTGATTTTTGATAACAATAGAAATTATTATAGAGCAAGAGCCCGTGAGAGCCAGACCTTCGGAATTTTATAAAAGCTGAGAGTTCTTCTGTGTATGTCGCCAATACAGGTAAGAATGATCGCCGCCCATGAAACCTGAGTAGTGGTGGCTTTGGCAGGTAACAGGTAGCAAAGGTGCATAAAATTCCGCCTCAAATGTATTAATTTATAAAACTCAATTTTTTTATATTTTATTCGTAATAATATTAATACTCGCGTTGCTCATTGCCAGACACTTGATATGGTTACAACCCTCTGCCAGACACCCCTGAACTATTATAATTTGTAACTATACTTACGTTATATTATAATAGCTAAATTTTATA